AACTGCAAAAATTTTTTCCCATTCTGTTGGTTGCCAATTCACTCTAATGACTGTTTCTTTTGCCGTGCAGAAGCTGTGGAGTTTGATTGCTGTTCTTTTGTGGGGGTGGGAACGAGCCTGATCACTTGGCTCCCTGCCTCAGAGCCTTTTTTTTTCTTTTTTAGTTGAAGAGTCGACTCTATCCCAGTTGCCTGTTGAAAGGGCGCCCAGGGATCTGTGTGATTTCCAGTGCGGTGACTCACTGTGCTGGCTTAAATAGCGGCTCTGAAATTCGTGGCACTTTTTTTGCCCAGGTATCTCCTGGCCTGGCTCCCTATTCAGTCCCCTCTTTAATCAGATTAATGGGCGACTTCCTGGGTCTCCAATCACCAGCCAAAAGAGCACCCAGACCAGTGTATTTTGTACAGAGAACCACTGGCCGGGGCACCAATAAAGCAGCCGCACGGGGCAAAGCAGCCACGCTGACGAAAAGAACCGTGCCGGCCACAACAGCTGCACTGGTGACCCATGGGGCTCCTCCGCCTGGGAATCTCCTGGTCCGTGGGCAATAAGAATGTGGCATCCACTCGACCTCTGCGCTTTCACTGGGGGCTGCAACTCTGAGCTGTTCCTAAACGGCCATCTTGAATCTTATCAGAAGATTTTTTTTTTAAGAGACAGGACCTTGTTATGTTGCCCAGTCTGGATTTGAACTACTGGGCTCAAGGAATCCTCCTACCTCAGTCTCTCAAGTAGCTGGGACTACAGGGACATACAATCATGCTTAGCTTAAAAAAAAAAAATTGCAGGCAGTCACCTAGTTATGTTTAGCATACAAATCCTGGTCTTGTTTTATTGGCTATGGTTCCAATAACAACTCAACTTTCATAACTTTTGTGGTGTTATTTTCATCTGTTTGATTTACCTGGTTCCACTGGAGCTTCCAGTAATCCCTACTGGTGCCACCTAAGAGGACAGAAGGAGCTGATCTAGCCCAGACACATGTAAGGAGATACCCCCATTGGTGTCTCCCAACAAACTAGTGTCCTTTGGTGGAAAATGGATTCTCCATCCTTCGGGAATACACAGCATACTTTCTGGACTGGTTCCTGTTGTGGCTTGGCACTTCTTCCCATTGCCAACAAGCCACTTGTATCTCTAGGTAGATGAAGTTATTATCTGGCTTACAGGAGCCAAGAGACTAAGCTACTCTTTACATCAATATCTTCCTTAATATTATGGTCTGGTCTCTCCAGATGAGGGAGAGAATGCCCTGGTCTAGCAGGAAAGGAGAGTAGTCCTCCTAGCTGTTTATTGTCAGGAAAACTTCCAGTTAATCTTCTTTGTCAATGTTGCCAGGCTCACTTCAAGTTGTTCTTGAGATTCTTGCTCCATCTGGTGGCAGGTGGGGGTTGGGGAATGAGCCTGCAGAAGCTTTCTTGTGTTGCTAAGGTGGGGGACATGAGGTTCCTGACTTAGATAGCCTTTTAATGTTAAGTGGGGGACCAAAACACCCTGTGTTTTTTCTAATTCTTAGAATCCCTAACATGTCATTTTATTCTTTCATCCTTTCAGAATTCTCTTACATTATTTTCAGGGTTTATATTTCTACTTTGCTGGGAAGAAAATGAATAAAGGAATATAGACAACCTTGGCCAATACTGAAGTCCTAGCTTCATTTTTATTTATCCTTTCCATTATAAACGAACTTGGGTTATCTTTCTTTTTTATTTACTTATTTTTCTAATTTCAACTTTTATTATAGATTTAAGTGTACTTTGTGCATGGGTAAATTGTTGCATAATGCTGAGGCTTCAGGTCCCAATGATCCCACACCCAGATCATAAGCATAGTACATTACAGGTGGTTCTTCAGACCACAGTCCCTCCCTCCCCCATCTAGTGAGCCCTGTTTATTGTTCTTATCTTTATGATCACATGTATTCAACGTTTAGTTCCCACTTAAATGTGAGAACGTGCACTATTTGGTTTTCTGTTCCTTCTTTGGGTCATTTAGGAAAATAGCCTCCAGCAGCATATATTTTGCTGCAAAGGACATGATTTTATTCATTTTTTTGAATGTATAGTATTCAATGGTGTATATGCACCACATAGACTTCACTGTTGATGGGCATTTAGGTTGATTTTATGTCCTTGCTATTGTGAATAGCGCTGTAATGAATATATGGCTGGATGTGCCTTTATAATCCAGTAGACGCATTGCTGGGTCAAATAGTAGTTCTATTTTAAGTTCTTTGAGAAGTCTTCAAGCTGCTTTCCATAGCGGCTGAACTAGTTTGCATTCCCAGCAACAGTGTGTTTGCTTTTCTCTATACTCAGGAGAATTAGTTTTTTTTTTTTTTTCCTTTTTAATTATTGCTATTCTGACTGGTGTGAGATGGTATCTCATTGTGGTTTTGATTTGCATTTCTCTGATGACTAGTGATGGTGAACATTTTTTTCATGTTTTTTGGCCTCTTATATGTCTTCATTTGAAAATTGTCTGTTTATGTCTTTTGCCCATCTTTAATTAGACTGTGTTTTTACTTTGTTGATTTGTTTAAGTTCTTCGTAGATCCTGGATGTTAGACTGTTGCCAAGTGCATATTTTACAAATATTTTCTCCCATTCTGTAGGCCGTCTTTTTACTCTATTGGTATTTTGTTGTTGTTCTTGTTGTATAGAAGCTTGAGTTTAATCACATCCCATTTATCTATTTTTGTTTTTGTGGTGATTGTTTTTGGTGACTTAGCCATAAATTCTTTGCCAAAGCCAATGTTGAACAGGGTATTTCCTAGGTTTCCTTCTAGAATTTTTATAGTTTTCAGTCTTACATTTACATATTTAATCTATCTTGAGTTAACTTTCATATGAGAGGTAGGGATCCAGTATCATTCTATTGCACATGGCTAGCTAGTTATTCCAGCACAATTTATTGAACAAGGAGTCCTTTCCCCATTTATTGTTTTTGTTGATTTAGTCAAAGATGAGATGGTTGTAGGTGTGCAGCTTTATTTCTGGGTGCTTTATTCTGTTGTATGGTCTATGTGTCTGTTTTAGTATCAGTACCATCATGCTGTGTTGATTAGTGTAGCCTTACAGTTTAGTTTGAAGGCAGGCAATGTGATATCTCCTGCTTTGCTCTTTTTGCTTATGATTGCGTTGGATTATTTGTCTTTCTAAAAGTCTATTCATGTATCTTTTATGGTTAAAGCCTTTTAATGGTTTCCTATCTAGGGACCAGTCACATCAAAATCTCTTGGGATATTTGCCAAAATACAAATTTATTGATGTTACACACACAAACTGAATGAGATTCTTTGAGAAAGCAGAGTTTTACTGAAGTTCTATTATATTAACATTTTAAAAATTACAACACTTGTATCAGAAATCTAGAGCACAAAATAAGATTGGTAAACCTTAATTACTCATTTCTAAATATGGACTTGCACTAAAAGGAAATAGTAAATTATGCAATACTGATTGAGATATTTTATATTAATTATAATTCAATTGTCTGATTAAATTAACTGGATTGATTCGATGTAGAAAAATTATATTTTATGAATTATTTTGGAGTCACTTTCAAAACTGAGAAAACTGCCCATGGATTATATGGTGTGCTAATTATTACATTATAATTAAGACTATATTTGTAGTATATGTAAATATTATGATCTTGAAATATGTCCTTTGAGACAATGTAGTTCTATCAAGGTTCAGTTTTGCCAGCTTACAAATACGATGGCAATTTTCTCAATGGCATTTTTATTAACAGCACAAGGGGAAACCCATTTGCTGCTGTAAATGAAAGATTACTTACTGCTCTTTTTCTAGAACACCCTGTAATCCAAGGCACAGTAAGGTTTCCTGAAATCTGTGAAAACAACAAATGGAATCTCAGTAAGCTATTTATTGACAGTACTTGGAATGTTGATCAACACCAAAGATTTTACACACTATGTCAAGATAAATCTGCATTCAGAACATATTTCCCACATATAAAACGTTGTTTCCTTAATGAACTCAACAGATTTAAGGGGCCTTTCTTGGTGAAAAGTATTTGAAAGTGGTGCAGATTTCTGGGAACTAAAAAAAAAAAAAAAAAAGGTTCTGGGGCATTGTTGTGGGACCTAGAATTGTTGGGATGCTGTTGCAAGTTTTAAAATGTATAGATAATACAATTGAATAATAAAAATTCAATACTTTGTGAAGACGTTAGATGAAGTATAGAATAAAGTGGTCTTCCCTTATCCACAGATGTTATACTCTGAGATACCCAGTGGATGTCTGAAACTGCAGAGGGTACAGAACTCTATTTATACTATATTTATTCCTATACATACATACTTATAATAAAGTTGAATTATAAATTAGGTAAGAAATGAACAATAGTTAATAATAAAATAAAACAATTAGGATAAAATACTGTAATAAATGTTATGTGAATATGGCCTTTCTTGAAATATCTTATTGTACTTCACTGCATGTTACTGAAACCATGGAAGACAAAACCATGGATAAGGGAGGACTGCTGTAGTCACATTTTAAATAGGTCTTCACCACAAAGCAAGAAATGAATTCATAATGAATTATGTGTGCTATACACTACCTAAACACATTACCTGTATTTATTTTGTAAATTTAGCACTGACTAATGGATTTATTGCTACATGTGTTTTCTTAATACAAATCTTAGACCTGCAGTATAAATGACTAAAACAATGTTTCTCTAAATAGTGACCTCCAGAGAAGTCTATTCACTATGCCCTACACTCTTTCCTGCAATGTGGTGAATTGTATATTTTAGTAAGCCCATTTATTTAATGAAATGTTCTCTTTGCATAAATAATGTATGATTGAAAAAGGGAGAAAAAGTAAACTTTTAATCATTACTATCTATACATCAAACCTCTCTAGATAAAAATGTGTTTGATAAAATCTGTTCTTTATGAGTTATGTCCCTGTGTCTAGTTTTGGTAGTGAAGTTTAGCAATGTTGCAATCTTGAGGAGATATTTCTTGCATATTATACAAGTATTTTATACTTGAGTAAATGCTTTCTAATAATTTCCCAGAAATGGTGAAATATGTTGATCTTTACTGATGGGGCAGAGTATTGTTTGTGGTAGTTATGGATATATTCAATTTCAATACATTCTTCAGCTACCTAAGTACTCACACCCAAAATTGAAATAATGTTCATACGAATCCAGTTCAACAGTGTGATAGTCAATTGTTAAGTATAAACCATTAAGACAAATGGCCAGTAACACCTTATTACCTCAGCATTGCTACAAAAGGAGACAGATGCTACTCTAGTGGGATTTTAGGGAGCGTTTACAAAGACAAATGTGGCCTGTTAGCTGTGGTCTGGGTTAGCCTGGACTTAACTATGCTTTTTCATAGGACACACAAGAATTGGGGAGTACTTCTCACTTGTCTCTCCTTCCCTCCCAAACAGATACTTCCTGAGAGACTGACAAGGCGAATCAGCTTCAGTAGGTCATGGAGGTAAGAACAAGGCATTCAATAAAATATTCAATGTTTTTCATAAATTATAAGCAGTAATGGCCTAAATAGTATTATGCCTATTGATAAAGAGTGATGATCAATGTTAACAGTAAATTAATAGTCTCAGTTATTCAAACTTCAGATAAGCTGTTACTGTTCCTAGCCACCAGATCTGCCATTTTACTTTGATTTACAAGTATTCCAAAATACTAGGAATTAGCTAAACATATAAATTCCTTTCAAGGAAAAATAAAAATATTTTTACTCAAGATAAAATACTATTACACTAAAATGGCAATTAACTGGAATGTTAGGGGTTAATGAGAATGTGTGAATAATTGATTTTTTTAATGATGATATAAATGTATTCTGAAAGTTATTCAAAATGTATTTTTCCTTTTTATCCCACTAATACGTGCTAGAGTTTGAAAATTCATTGTTAGCCTCAGTGAGGGAAATAAATCTGCTTAAATAATTATACAACATAATCTAGAAAAATATAGATACCCAAGTGTTTTGGATTATCTGTTCACATATTCTTATCCATTAGTAAAAATAATTCAAAATTGATCATACAGAATATCTAGAAAATTCTGTATGATAAACCAAAAAATTCTGTATGATAAATCAAATTTTCTAGAAAATTCTGTATGATAAACCAAATGAATTACAAACAAAACAAAACACTAAACCAGTAACTGCTAAAAAGTTACATATGAAATAATAAAGATGATATAACAAACATGGAAATAGAATTTATATAAACACTGACTATACATTTGATAAATATAAAATGTGGTTCCCTGTTTAAGTCAGTAAGTAAGAAAATAAAAAACTCCTATAAGCACATAGTATGCAAATATTATAAATTCCATGTAAATTGGTAGAAGTTTCACTTTTTTGTTTTATAATTCTGTATCAGCAGTTACATGATACTCAAATATTATATTCAACTAACCACTAACGTTTACTTCATTTATTTATTTTTTTTTTGAGATGGAGTCTCACTCTGTGGCCTAGGCTCAAGTGCAATGGCATGATTTCGGCTCACTGCAACCTCCACCTCCCAGGTTCCAGCAATTCTCCTGTTTCACCCTCCTGAGTAACTGGGATTATAGGTGTGTGCCACCACGTCCAGCTAATTTTTGTATTTTTGGTAGAGACAGGGTTTCACCATGTTGGTCAGGATGGTCTCAAACTCCTGACCTCATGATCTGCCCACTTCAGCTTCCCAAAGTGCTGAGATTCAGGCGTGAGCTGGCGAACCTGGCCTCTAATGTTTACTTCAAATCTATTGTTCAGTTCATTACATTTCCAGTATAACTCAGGAACAGCTGGGCAGAGTAACTGAATTTGTAGGCTTGTTTGAATAAATACCTTTCCACAAATTTGGGAAGTTTTATTTGGTAAAATATTGACGATATATTTCTCATTCACCAAAAGCTATGAAATGCAATACTCAAATTAGAAGGGTAATACACATCTCATTTGAATGATATTTCAATTCCAAACTCACTTTAAACAGACTGGTGTGGAAAACTGTGAAATAAATCTTCAAGTAGATAATACTGATTTAACAAATATATTAGAACATACACATCCAAAAGAGTGGTGTACATTTCCAAGTAAAATATTTGGAGTGTTATAAACTCATTACAATGATGCTGACATTATTCAAAGCATTTTGGGAACTTTCTTTTTGGAATTGTCAGTTCATGTCTCACCCAGAAATTTTGTCTCATTACACTCCTTTTATTTTAACTGAAAATATAACAGCCCCAATAGAAAACCCATATTAGTCACTCAATGTGGCTTAGAATGAGTTCTATTTTTAAAATCAAATGTTCCCTCAAATGAGAATTATTTGTCACTACCAAAGCATTTATAAAAGTTCCACCAGCTCCCAAAGCAATTGTGAAAAAACCTCAAAAACTTTTGACAAAATTGTACATTACTGAAATAAGTATTATATAACTTCCCAGTCAGCTATTTGTTCTATATGAGGCACTGTTTTAGAAAGCTACAGGAAATAAAAGATCAGTAAATCATAATTTCCTGGAAAGCAAGAACTGTTGCTTGAGAGGAATAGATAAGATAGGTACATTAATGTCTTTGATACAAAGAAAACTATGTTAAATGTCACAAGGGAGGTACAGTAAATGAAGTACAGCAGGAGCTCAAAATATGACAAAATTACATCTACTTGAGCATTGATATCTCAGGTGAACCTTAAAAGATGGATAGGATTTTAATAGAAATAAAAGAGATCAGCATTTCAGGGAAAAAGAATGGCATGAGCACAGTGAAATTAAAAGACAGGATGTATTTGGGGAATGGTCATTTCAACTAGAACTAGAACAGGGAGTTAGGGTGACTGTGTGGAGATTATGAATGACAAGGTGCATTTATATCTAATTCTGTAGAAAATAGGGAGCCATTGAAAGCATTCAAGCAGATGTATGGTATGATCAGAACTATATTTTTATACAGTACAAATCTTAGGTGTCTATGTGTGTAATTAAAGAAGTACAGAAACTATTTTAATAGTTTGGATGAGAAGTAATTCAGGTTTGAAACCAGGGTCGGGGAAGTGGGAATTAAGAAGTGAAATATCAAGCATACCATTGAAGAAAGGTCTTGTACATAAGATACAAGAGAACTAAATAGTCTGGAGATAATGGAAATAGTCCTCTTATGGTCAACTGCTTCCAAAAGTGCCTGGTCTGCTGGAGCTAATGGGGAATCACAACTTCAAAAGCAAATGAAAAAAAGTTCACTTACTGTTGGAAATCTGCATCTCATGGCTAAGAATAGATACACAAATAAAGTAATGCACTTATTTAGGTGTATACTGGAGTCACACCATATGTACAATTAAGGTTTGTGAATTCAACTATAACACACTTGCCAGTCTCACATAAAATCATACTTTAAGTAGAAAGTATATATCAGGATATCAATTACATATTATATGTCTTCATTACTGCACATGGTTGTACATTCATAAGAAGACATGCAAATATAAGTTTTATAGATGATTTAGATATTTTTAAAGGAATTTTTGCTGTTTTATTTTATATAATTTAGACCCCACATATGAATCTGTTTTAATATTTCTGCTAGATTATTAGATTGTCAAGGGCAAAGTATCAAGTTTAAAAATTTATTCTAATTATTTTATACAGTCACACAGAGATTATGTGTAAAAACAATCATTTGATTTCAAAAAATATGTTGTAAAGACAGTTCTACATATATGCTGTACCTCCTATTTAAAAATTTGAGACCAACTTATGGGGCTAGTAAAGCTACTATCTGATATATACCACATTTATGAGAGCCAGGAAAATTGAATATTTGATTA